GTTTCGCGGGGGCGTAGGCGACGTGACCGCAGCGCGCGCAGTCTTGGCCGCAGCCGCGCGTTGTTGTTGCTGCAGCAACTGCGCCTTCTCCGCTTTCTCCTTCGCCTCACGCTCCTCGCGCTCCCGGGCAGCCTTTTTCCGCTCGCGCTCCTTGTCCTCGCGCTCGCGCGCCGCCGCAAGCTGTGCCGCCTTTTCCTTGGCCGCCTTCGCCTCCCGCTCCTCCCGCGCCTTGCGCTCGCGCTCCTCCTTGTCGCGCCGCTCCGCCTTGGTCTTCTCCTCCTTCTCGCGCCGCTTCCTCTCCCGCTCCGCCTCCTTCTCCTTCTCCTCCGCAACCCGCTTCCGGCGCTCTTCCTCCTTGCGCGCCTTCTCCTCCTCCTGCGCCTTGCGCGCGGCCTCCCGCTTCACGCGGTCCTCCTCCCGCCGCTTCCGCTGCTCCTCCTCCTGCGCGGCATGCTTCGCCTTCACAGCCGCCTCCTCCGCAGCCTTCTCCGCAGCCTTCTGCGCCTCCTTCTCCTCCTTCGCCTGTTTTTGTTGACTGCACACACAACACATTAGCACCACCCCAAAACGCCTCGCACATAATAATAATAATAAACGCACCGCTTCTTATCCTTCTTCTTCTGGTTCTGCGTCTGCTTCTTCGCCTCCTTCTCCCTCTCAAGCTTGTCCTCGTCCTCGAGCTCGCGCAGCAGCTGCAGCTGGCGCTCCTGCGCCACCCGCTCGCGGTACGCCTGCAGCACGCGCTGCTCAAACATCCGCGCCGCGAAGATCGAGAACATGCGCTTGCCCTCCTCCATTTTTTGCTCCTCCGTCATCACCTATGTGGCGGTCCCCGTCATTCCGAGTAGAAAAGAAGAAAAGGAGAAGAAAAAAGACAAACCTCCTCCGGCCCGTCCAGGTCGTCGTCGTCCCCGTCGCTCTCCCCGTCGTCGTCGTCCCCCTCGCTGTCCCCGTCCCCGTCATCGCTCTCCCCATCCTCGTCCCCATCCTCGCTCTCGCCGTCATCCCCGTCGTCCTCCGACCCGTCAAGGTCGCCGTCGTCCGAGTTGTCGTCCTAGAAATTGTCAGAACGGAATTACAGCAGCGGGGTTGAATAAGGGGCGGAAAGAAGGCCACAAAGACCAAAACAAAATGTGCGGCCTCAATGGCAACAGCCTTCCAAGGGGAAGAAGAACAAGTCGAAAGGCAGCAAGGACAAACACCGATGAAAGGAATATATAAAAAAAGGAAAAAAGCCGCACGAACACCAACCCCACAAGAACGGGGGAAAAAAGCCACAAAAATGGAGCGCGGCAACAGAAGGCATAAAACCCTCCCGCGCGGGAAAAAAAGTCGCGAAATGGAAAAAAAAATCCCGCAAGCCCGCCCGCCAAAAAAACGAGTCCAAAAGCCATGTGTCGTCCCAAAAAAAAACGAGTCCAAAAAAATGACACGAGCATCGCACACAATAGAACAAAAAAAAACGCACCTCATCCCCACTAACCCCCCCAGCCGCCTCCTCCTCGCGCTGCATCCTCCTCTCCGCCAGCTGCTCCATCATCTCGAGGAACTTCTGCCCGTCGTTCTTGAGCAGGTCGTCCGCGACGGTCAGGATCGACGTCGGGCCTGCGTCGAGGACAAGGAGGAGGTTAGTTAAAGAATTGGATTGGATGACGCGGTTAGAAGAAATGAAGGAATGGGGGCGTGCCACCCACGCCCGAAAGCGAGGAGGGAGAGAGAGACGCTCGCTCCCAAGAGCGCGGAAAGGGAGAGACACCCTTCAAAGAGCGCCAACCCCCAAAGATCGCGACCTCCCACCGCAGCCCTCCCTCCGTCAAGGGCCACCCTCCCCTCGACAAAAAAAGCCCCCAAAAACCAAAGAAGAAAACCACTCACCCCCAACACCCCCCACCCCCGCCCCCGCCGCCGCAATCTTCCCCTTCATATCCACCGCGCCCCGCCCCCCTCCCCTCCCCCCTCCCCTCCCACCCCCACCCCTCCTCGCCAAATTCCCATTCCCACCTACCCCGCCCCGCCTTGCCCCCCTTTCTCTCTCCACCTCCCGCTCCACCTCCGCCTGCCTCGCCCGCATCTCAGCATCCGTATACCTCCTCTCCTCCGGCCCCGCAGCGCTCTCCTCCCCGCTGCTCCCCTCGCCCTCCGGATCGTCTTCCTCGGGATCGGCGTCGGGGTCGGGCTCCTCCTCTGCGTCATCCGCGTCGTCCGGATCCACGAGCTCCTCCTCCTCATACGCGTCCCCCTCCGACCCCAGCGCAGACGACGGCGGGCGCTTTCTCCTCCTTCGGCGCTGCGCCGCGCCCTTCTTCCCTCCGCCCCCAGAGACGAGCTTCTTGCCGTTGATGCCTAGAAATAAATAAATAAATCAGCTCATCATTCCACCCTCCGAATAATAATAATAACAATAAGAGGAGGAAGAAGAAACGGCACTCACCATTCCCACCCGCGCCCACCCCACCACTCGCAAATCCCCCCAGCCCGCCGACCCCCCGTCCCAAGCTCGCGACGCCGACGACGCTCCCGTAGCGGTCCACCTCGACGCTCCCCGGGAAGGGTCCGGGCGGGAGCGCCTTGCCCCCTGCGGGGCGTCCGGTGGCGGGTGATTTGTGGTGTGGGTCTGGGGGGGAGGAGGGTTAGTGATACGACGAATAAAGAAGGGAGAAAGGGTAGATAGACATATAGGGAACGAAGGGCGGAGGGAGGTATAGTGTGCGCCGGCGACAACGGCAAGACACCCCAAAAACCAAAAAGAGCCAAAAGAAAAGAAAGAAGAAAGAGAGAGAAAACCACTCACCCCCGTTCGCGTTCGTGCCCGAGTTTACAGCGAGTAGGTACTGCTGCTGGTACAGCGCGTACTGCTCGAGGTCCTCGTAGTACGCGTCATAGAGCACCTGCAGCTCCTCCTCGATTGCGTTCCTGGGGGGAGGTTAGTATTGTGTGTGTGGGGTTGGTAAAGGGGGGGAGGGGGGGAGCGGAAGATAGAAGACATAGAGCAGTCGAAAGGCGGGATGGCGGTAGGGAGGGCGGAGTACGCCCGCGGTGCGACTACGCCCAGGGCGGGATATCTATCGGCTAGCTGCACGACGGCGCCGCCCCAGCCGTCTCAGCCCATGGCCGACGCCGTTTCAGCCAATCAGAGCGATACGCCGCACGGATCACAGGCACTCGTGTCGTCGCACGCGAGTCGGCGGACCACGCCGCCCCATCGTGGCCATGCGCCGTCGTCCCAGCGATCCGCACCAGACACACCCCAGCCAGCCATCGATGGGATGGACGCAACAGAAAAGACGTCCCCCGTCGGGATATCGGGTGGATAGTCCCCGACGACTTGCACGACAGTGTTGTTTCAGCCAATGGCCGGCGCTGTTTCAGCCCATAGCCGACGCCATTCCAGCCAGGGCCAACGCAGACGCAGCGCCGTACAAGCGATACGCCGAGCGGATCACACGCACATTGACGCGAATGCGTCGTCGCACACGAGTCGGCGGACCACGCTGCCCCGTCGTGGCCTCGGGCCGCCGTCCCAGTGATCGGCGCTAAAGACACAAGGGTCCCCCAGCCATCCATCGATGGGACAGACGAATAAAGAAAAGAGTCTAGATCGCGATAATAAAAGGAACACCCACCTCTTCCTCCCACACACCGCACACGAGCACGAGTGCTTCTGCTGCTCCTTCATCTTGCGGAGTACGGTGTCCTTCTCGACCTTGACGAGGTCCCTGCGCTCGTCCTCGCCAAGCGCGAGCCAAAAGTCGCGGATGCGCTCGCGCTCCTCGCTGGAGCTTGTGCTCCATATCTTGTTCTGTTTTCCCTTTGGGGCGTCTGCTGCTGTTCCGGCTGCTGCGGGGGGGGCGGGGGGGTAGGCTGCTGCAAGGGGCGCCTTTGCTTGTGCGCGGGCGCTGCGAGGTGCGGCGGGCACGGCGGCGGCCTGCTGGTATGCCATGGGCTTTTTGCCGATCGACACGCTGCTCGGTGGCGGCGGCGGCGGGGGCGGCATATCGGTAACCGTATTGCTAACTGAGCCTGCTGGACGCTGCAACGACGACGCTGAAAAGTATTGGTCAGCACCGCCTGTCGGAGTTTCAACTGCGAAATAATAAGTAAAATATTTAAAATAAATAAATAGTAAGAGTCTACCCAGTGCTGCGGCTGCCTCGCGAACCCATTCCTTGTCCCGCGTAGACTGCTCCTCCAGCTCCAGCTCCGCGCAGAGTTCCTTCGCCGTCGCGATCAGCTCCCTCGTCGCAGCCAGCGCGGCAGCAGTAAGCTCTGCATCGGTGCTGTCCGCGTCCACCTTGAGCCGCCCGTGCACCACCTTGTCTTCACTCCGCCGCTTGCTGTGGTTGTTGTTGTTCTTCACCATCGTCTCTTCTCTCCTGGTGGTCGTGGATGTGGGAGCGCGTATGTCCGACTCCTGTGAAAGCTGTGGCACCGCCTACGCGATATAAATAAGATGCACACACCTCTCTACTGCTGCCTTGATTCTCAAGCGCGCGCGTTCCCTCCACTCGTCTCAGCTCCTTGCCTTCAATGCGCCGCCTTCAATCCTTCCAAGTCTTTGATCCTGAGTCGTGTTTGTACACCTTGCAGTCGGCGCAGGGATACGCGAGAGGCAGGCCTATGCTTGCTTCTAGGGCCTAATGCGACAAGCAGCGCACACCCGTAGAATCAAAGACACAAGTTGACAATGCGAAAGAAAGGAAAGTAACACCAATGGCAGGCGCGTTACGTCCGAGCGCGGCGCTAGTCGTAATTTAATCTTATCCACTCGCGCTTATCAATCAATTGGATTATCTTATCAGATCGCTTCAAAATATGACGCAACAGAAAAAGAAAAGTGACCCAGCCCCGAGTCGAACAGGGATCTCCCACAAACCAAGATCGAAGTTTGCAACAATGAATGGATATGTTTACCAGTGCACCACTGGACCATACCTAGAGTTCAGTTCTGGAGGGAATAAACTTCAACTTGGTCGTAAAAAATGACAAGCGTAAAAAACAGATGACCCAGCCCTGAGTCGAACAGGGATCTCCCACAAACTCAATCTCGATACGATATGATAGAGAATGGGTATGTTTGCCACTACACCACTGGGCCATGCCTAAAGTCTAGTTCCGGAGGAAATGAACTTCAACTTGGCTGTAAAAAATGACAAACGGAGAAAAAAATAAATGACCCAACCCTGAGTCGAACAGGGATCTCCCACAAATCTGGGTGCGATGATGCACAATAAGTGGGCAGGTTTACCACTACACCACTGGGTCATGCTTAGAGTCTAGTTCCGGAGGAAATAAAGTTCAACTTGGTTATAAAAAATGACAAACGGAAAAAAATGAATGAATGGCCCAGCCCTGAGTTGAACAGGGATCTCCCATAAACCCACTAATGAGGAGGTCACAATATGTGAGTGTGTTTACCACTACACCACTGGGGGAGGAAACAAACTTCAACTTGGTTATAAAAATGACGGGCGGAAAAAATGAATGACCCAACCCTGAATTGAACAGGGACCTCCCACCAAATTTACTAGTCAACATTCTCAGAATTGCAAATGGGTGTGTTAACCATTACACCACTGAGCCATACCTAAAGTCTAGTTCCGGAGGAAATCCTAGTTGTAAAAAATGACAAGCGGAGAAAAAAAATGAATGGCCCAGCCCTGAGTTGAACAGGGATCTCTAAGTGAACTTCCTTCAGTATTGTTAACATACTGAGTAGGCATATTAACCATTACCCGACTGGGTCTTTTGTTTACAGCGAACTTGAATTCAGCCAATACAACTTGAGTGGAAAATATGAACTAAAAGAATAAAATGACCCAGCCCTGACTCGAACAGGGATCTCCTACCAAATATCGAGCTCGCGTAACACAAATGGGCATGTTAACCATTCCACCACCGGATCTTTCAAATTCTTCAGCCCAAAAAAAATTCACCTTACCCTCAGCATTAATTGTGTTGAAAGATAGATAACGAGACAAGAAAAAATGAACCCAGCCCTGAGTTGAACTCACTACAAAAGTGTTCTATGTTGGAAGATGAGTTGCACGTGCGCGCACTGCCTCATTGTGGCGCACTTTGCTACCAGGTCCCCGCCGTTCATTCCTTCCTTCATCCCTGCTTTCTTGCTGATGCCCGTTATTGTACCCGAAAGACTAAATTTGTATCTTTAATTAGTATTTAAGTACTGTACACAACGAAAGATTCCCCGCGCGTTTGCAACGGGTTCACTGCTAATATTGGATCAAGCTCTTGATTCCAACATTCTAATGCAAAGATGATGGGCACGGTAACAGCCGCACCACTGGGTCTTGTTTCTGGCCAACTTCAAGCACAATTCGGGTTATAAAAACAATGACAAGCGGAGAAAAAAATAGATGGCCTAGCCCTGAATCAAACAGGGATCACCCACCAAACCCACGAAGTAAATCTTATACTTCAAGTAGGTGTGTTGACCATTACACTACTGGGCCTTACTTATCCACCAGCCAAAGTGGTTGAAATCTGAATTTGTGTCAGAGCAAGCCAAAATATAAATGAAAAATGACCCAGTCCTGGATTAAACAGGCATTCCCTCATTACAACAGTATGACTATATGCAGATGATGATGGGTGCGGTAACAGCTGCACCACTGGGTCCCGTTTCTGATCAACTTCGAACACAAATTGGGTTGCAAAAATGATGACAAGTGAGAAAAAAATTGATCCAGCCCTGAGTCGAACAGGGATCTCCCACACAAACAACCACGCAGTTCTTCCACAGCAAGCGGGTATGTTAACCATTCCACCACTGGGTCTCAGTTCAAACAGATTTTATTCAATCAACACAGAACAGAACAATGAGGGAAAAATGACCCAGCCCTGAGTTGAACAAGGATCTCCCACGCTATTGCGTCACGAACTGAAAGTAGGTGTGTCTACCATTACACCACTGGGTCTCACTCTTGTGTCAAATAAATTTTATTTGACCGGCACAGCTTGAGTTGGAAGGAGTGTGAGAAAAAAAACATTCAAAGTGACCCAGCTCTGAGTTGAACAGGGATCTCTCACCAAATTCACTAGTCAACTTCACGGAATTGCAAGTGGGTGTGTTAACCAATAGAGCGCTGGTTGTTATTTGGCTCCAAAAATGTTAAATTTAACAGCAATTCTCTTAGAAAAGGGATTGAACGGAAAAATGAATGGATAATTCTAATGAGGAGAAACCCCGCACATCAGAGAAATCTTCAAAAAATCTAATCGGAAACCCCTCCGAGATAGTCGGTGGCCGATGGAGTTGCGGATCATTCCGCCAACTGGATATCCGACACTATATCCGACGGTTAGGACGACTGCAAAACCTGCTGCAGCGCGATGAAGATATGAAGACATTGTTCTAGCTGGGTATGCTCTCTTCCAGTCTGCAATTGAATTCCGTGAAGCCACTCAAGAGAAACTGTTGTATTTTCGCTGCGGGTCATGACTTATCACGGGCCTATGATGCAAAAGCTCTTCACTTTTCTCATTTTCCATATGCACCATTTCATGAGCTCCGAAGCGTTACACAAGAAGGCCCAAGCCTGCTTTGTTTTCAAATATTCTCCGTGTGATGCATTAACACCGTGTTTATGGGCCGTCTTCCGACGTCTCATTGACATTTATTTTTTGTCCATGGGCGGTTTCACTACCAGCCGGCCTCCTAATAATATTGTCTGACTGTATAAATTTTCTGGGCACGTGTAGCAGTCGGAATCGCTTTTGTGAACTTTTCAGCCGACTTACCTCCTATTTCTCAACATGGATAACTCCAGCTCCGAATATCTGCTATAGTACTACACCCCAACGGCGACAATTAAATATTTTACCTCCTATTTTGCGGCGCTCACATCCCAGACAGCTGCAGAACTTCAATACCTACGGATTTACGACCCCAAAACTGTGTGTGCATGGGCATTCACCGACGAGATAGGATCCAAAACTTCGTCAATCTAGGTATAATCTGAGTAACCCGCTGGAGATATCGGCCGGCAGGTAGGTAGGTAGGTAGTATTACCGGCGCAGTCCCATTCCAATTTTAGAGGGGTTTCTCATTAGAATTATCTAAAATGAATGGCCCAGCCCTATGAAATAGATTTTGTACTATACAGCACTAAGTCAGCATGTTAGCCATTACACCACTGGGCCGTTGTTACGTGCGAATAAATTCAACCAGTGCTTGGGTTGACAAAATGGCAAGAGAGAACGAAATAAGAAATGACCTAACCCAAGTCGAACAGGGTGTGAGCTCCGACAGCTTGGCTTAAATCTCCTTAGATGCACCACATCCTCGGGAAATGCCGAATATCACAACTTCGGGAACATCCGATGATCCGAACAAGGACAATTTGTATTCCGACGAGCCGGCCCGGATCTTTCATGCTCTCAGCCGGGTTATTCTGACTGTACTTTCTTTTTTCTTCTACGACGCCGCTGTGGACGGGCGGGCCTAGCTTTTTCGGAGAAGCACTCCTGGCCGCTCTGCTGACGTACGCCGAATGTGCATCCCTTTCGTTCACCCTGATTCAGTGTGACAGGCCTAACAGAATTCTAGTTCCAGCTCCAATTCCAGCCGAATGGAATAATTGTGGAGCTACTTACCAACCCAGGTAATTGGACCTTTGGGCGACCCGTGAGCTGGAGTTACACGACTCGGAGACGGTCCACATCTCTGATCCTCGCGGCGTTTATCTTGCGTGTCCGAGTTGCGCGAGCGTGTATTCACGTCAAGTTACTTCGTTTTTCATGTCGGGGCAGTTCAATTCTCCAGATCCCGAGTGGCAGGTCTGTGGATGTTTCTTTCGACGCGTGTTTCATGGAGAAATCAGAGCCGCGTAGGTCTATCGCTGACCGATCACCGCACTCACCCGACCGACTGGCGTCCCGGGCTAGCGCCCCTTGTACGGTCGCGGGTATGACGGTGTTACAACCAAGCCAGGCCCTCGAACCTTAACTGAAACCGGTTCTTCTACCAATAATAAACCGTCTTCAAACCCGACTCGCTGCAGCCTTTCAGAACCCTGATGCAGATTTAACCGTGGAATCCTCTACGGGCAACGAGGTTCTTCCCAGGACATGCCCAGTGAAAGGAATCTGGCTTTCTACCTACATCTCTTTTCAGTGACGATGCTCGAGGATATATTTATTCGAACTATTTTTAGCGCGGGCGCGCATCTTTGTCTCATTTATCGCAAATCCAATGAGTAATGACTTATTAAAGTACTATCGTGCCGCATGGGTATGAACCCTCCCTGTCTAACTGGATTTTATTTTTCATGTTTTTTCTAGAGCATCAATCGCCTCGGTTTTTTTGAGGATGTGTACCGGCGCATATTCTCGTTGTATCCAAAAAATATTAAAGTGACTGAGGGACAAGAGCGGGTGCAGGAGACAGCGCGAAGTAAAGAAGTGGGATCAAATCATTATTTCGACAAATTTCGAGATCAAATTTCTTCGATGAAAGTTCGTCCACTTCCCGGAGCCCAATCCCTTTGTAGATTTACGGAGAGGAGGAGAGGATGTATCGGTACCCATTCCAAAAAACACCGAAGGGATTGCGTCATTTTTTAAAAAGATAAAATTGAAATCCAGGACCACAGGGCGGATTCACTGCGTTCCGCGGCCCTGTCCACACAACGTTGCGGACATGTGGATCTGTGTGGATCGTGGGATACAAGCTGTGCCGACGTCAGATCCACCGAATCGGTCCGACATGTGTCGACTCGGTGCGGACGTGCCGTCCACAGCAACATGTCGCCACGGATCCACACATGTCCACAGCGTCTGTGACCGCCTGCGACGTCGGGGTCTCCGCCGCTGCCCTTCCTCACTGACGACCAGCGGTCACCAGCCAGCACACTCCCACATTTGACATCAATACGTACATTGATTGGCCGGCTCAAACAAAGCCAGATTTATTAATGGCTGTGTGTTTTGACATGTGGGCGCCATGCCAGCATCACCTGTCAAACCAGGGCCAGATCCTCGTCCGTCAGCAAGGTCTTTAGAGCACAATTGGGTGCCCACGGGACGCCGAGAAATATATGGAGGAGATCGACATAGTATGCGGACGCACGAATCAGCGGAAATGTGTGGACGGGGGTCGTACACTGTATGTGCAGACGACCCTCCGGAACGCAGTGATTCAGACCGTACTCTAATCATTTCGATTGGCGATAAATGATGGAAGCAGACAAAGATGCGCGCCCGCGCTAAATATAGTTCGAATAAATATATCCACGCCAGTCGGTCGGGTGAGTGCGGTGATCGGTCATGCGATAGACCTACGCGGGCTCCCCCGCAAAACGAAATGAGTATGTAATGACTTCTTAAAGTATATAAACCGCGGAGGAGCGACAACGGTAGGTGACTAATGCCTTCACAAAATCTCAAAAGTCTCTGCCAATACACTACTCTTGCCGCGACCAGTGCTCAGGAAATTGCACGCATCAACCCGGTGCCATTTTTAGGTTCCGCCGCCGTATTGAGTCTGTCGATTGTGAAATGTGTCGAGGTGTGCATTCGAAGCTGACCGTTTGAGCATTATTGACATGATGTAGTCCGTTCATTCAAACAAGGATGAATACACGACAATGCTGGAGCGGATTCACGAAATTCTCTGCATCATTTTGAGGTTCTACACCATGTCTGAGCCTCAAGGGGTGCTTCCAACTGCACTTCTGTACGACATTGGAAAATTTACCGAGTATACAAAACCACATCTATTCACTTGTCGAGTTTATATTGACATTCAACATTAGAACCCTTCAAAAGGTGTTCACAACTTTGAGAGGGCAGCAAAGGATGGGAAGGTTTAAGCAGCTCTTCGCGCAACCTGATCACAAGGCAGGCTTGAAAATATACAAACAGGAACTGAACCATGCTGCTGAGTTGTTTAAGGTATGTTATATTTCACTCACCTCTCGGAAGTGTCGTGATTCAATTGCTTTAGGTTCGAGCTGCCAGTTCAACGCTCTCGCAAATGGTTCAAATGAGCGAGGATGCCAAGGAGCAACATGATGAGCTGGTTGAACTTCTGCGATCTCACCCAGACCTCACTTCGTATGGCTCATCTGTAAATTTTGATTTGCGTTTTCAGATGTTCTCCGCTGATGCTGACCAGGTGACTGGGACATTATCAAGTTCGCTTTCTAGGTTTGTTGAATTGTTTTATCCTCCAACTCCAACTAATCTCTTGTGTAGTTCCGAGTCCTTCACTATGCTTCCACCATATCCACACATCTTCCATGGACGAGATTCTGTGCTCCAAGATGTGGTCAGAATTCTGCTTCAGGATTCCGCCCGAATTGCCATCTTGGGTACAGGGGGCATGGGAAAGACCTGCCTCGCTGTAGCTGCTCTACATGACAGCCAAGTGGAATCGAAATATACCTGCCGATATTTTGTTCCCTGTCACTCGACCCCCACCTGTGCGGAGTTGGTATCGGCTGTTGCAGATCACGTCGGTGTCGAGAGGGGACCAAATTTGTCTAAAAAAGTGGTGTCGTACTTCATGCGCGCTGCCCCCTCTCTTCTGGTGCTGGATAACCTGGAAACACCCTGGGAATCACTTTTATCTCGACCTAAGGTGGAAGAATTTCTATCTTTGCTCACTGATATACCCAATTTGGGCCTCATGGTAATTATATGTTCAACTCGGGAGTTTTTTATTCATGTTTTAATTAGGTCACAATGAGAGGGGCTGAGCGCCCCGGAAAAGTCCGATGGACGCACCCTTTCCTACCTCCTCTCAGCCCCATTTCCTCTGCTGCTGCTCTCCGAGTGTTCGTCGACGTTGCCGATGACAGCCATCAAGAAGAGATTGTCGAACAACTCCTCGAACTCACAGGAAATCTACCCCTTGCAGTTAGTCTAATTGCCAGTCTGGCCTCCCATGAAGGATGTGCCACCGCACTCTCAAGATGGAAGCATGAAAATACCAGAATGCTCTCAGATGGATACGACAAGTCATCCAGCCTCGATATCTCAATCATGCTGTCTTTCACAAGTTCTCGCATGACCTCAGGAGCTCAGGAGCTGCTCAGCATTTTGTCTATGCTTCCTGATGGTCTCACAGATTCAGATCTAATTCAAGCTGGGTTCCAAATCCCAAACATCTTGGAGGCAAAAAGCACTCTACTTCGCACATCACTGGCATTTGTTGATGTAAACCGCCGAATAAAAGTTCTGGTTCCAATCCGAGAGTATACTCTGAGGATTCATCCTCCAACAAGTGGATTGAAGCGGCAATTACACCGTTACTTTAATGAACTCCTTGATCTGTGGAATCAGTTCAAGGATGTAAATGTGACTGGCATAGCACCTCATATTTCCCGAAACCTTGGAAATTTCCACAGTGTTTTCCTGGATGGCCTCAACACAGATGGTTCCGAAGCTGTCCAGAATTCCAACAGTATTCTGAGGCTGAACGTGTTTTATCGAAGAGCACAAAAAGGAACATATACACCCCTTCTCCTCCGACTCTCTGACAAGATGCCCCATTGGCAAGACAAATCCATTTTCGGGGATTATCTGCGTCAGCTGTTTGCAAGCGCTTCTGCTTTTGCTGTCGATGATGCCGAGGCGCAAATGAGATTGGGAAATGAATATTTTCAATCCAAGGATCTACTGGAACAAGGTATGATGCACATGCCATCCGTTAGTATGCCTCGATGTTGATCTTTTGATTAGCCAAGTGGAGCTATGCGCTTGGACTCTATTTTCAATGGGGAAAAGCAAATGTGTCCAGGGCTCTTGAGTGTCATTACAGGGCACTTGCTTTATCCGAAAATACCGGAGTCTTAAATATAACTACGGCGCGGGCATTATATTCGATATCGAAGATCATGATGGACACCGGGAATCCTTTGGGTGCAGAAAAAAATGCACGCAAGGCACAAGAGTATTTCACCACTTTTGGTGATGTCTACGGACAAACACAAGCTCTCTGGGTACAGGCACGATGCCAGGCAATCCTGGCAAACTATCAGCATTCTCAATTTCTCCTCCAGCATGCTGCCGACCTGGTGGCTTCCTGCAGTGACCTGGAATGGAGCGCATTTCAGACGAATATCCGAACTTCACAGGCAGAGATACATTTTTTGAAAACAGAGTATTCGGAGTCTCTCCAACTCCTTGATGCCTCGGCAACACAAAGACCAACAACATACCTGGAACTCTTGGCAAACTTGAATATTGTGTCCATCTATACAACAACTGGTGTAGAATCCCAAGCCATTCAGCAGAAGCTAGACACTTGCCAGCATGGGAGCAAGTCCTTGCATGGATTTCACCACACTGAAATAGCCCTCTTCCTGGAAGTAATAACTGCAGACCTCTCTCTTCGGGATGGAAACCACATGAATGCAAATGAGATTTTTGCAGCATGTCTTAAATCATCCCAGGATAACGACAAACCCGAATTAGCACTTCTTTGTCTGGAAAGACTTGCGGATTTGGCTACTGGGATGAACAATGTTCAAACCACACTTCGATGGACGGCAGTACTCCTTGGATTGTCGTTGAAGGCAAAGGAGAAACTTGCTACCATGAAGGCTTTGAATTGCCTGGGCCAGATTTTCGTTGCCCGTGGGGATGATGAAACAGCGCGGAGTCTGTTTGAGGTAGCAATGGGGGAATTCACATTGATGGGTGTCCACCAGTGGAGAGCCAATTGCATGGTCCAAATTGCGGATATCTCAGAGCGCAACGGGGATTTTGTGAAGTCGGTTCAGTTATTGAAGGCAGCAAAACCGCTGTTTCAAAAATCTTCGCAGGTGAAAGACATGGATCGGATTGATATGAAGTTGGTAGCCATTCAAAAGCGAGAATAATTTTATACCAATATTTGCCTGTAAATGAACATGTGGTGTATGTAGTGAGTAACGATAAAATACACCTACACAATCCGAGCCTGTTTGAGAGTGGGGTCAAAGTAGTTAGTCGTAATATTCAGAACAGAAATATTATTTTTGCTCATCTTTTCATATATATTGCCTTGATGTCTGGTGCCCCAAATAGTCGCATCTTCACATTGCCAAAATTATGCATCACCTGCTGAGGAAGAATCACGGAGAGTTTCTTTGCACTACGCGGGAAACACGCGTAAAGATGTGTCAGAGCGTGTAGAATGTGTGTGTGGTAAATGCACAGGAGGCTAAAACCACGCAGTCTGCACGTCTCTTTGAATGATTCAGTTGACAGGGTTGATCCGAGTCACTCGGGCCCCAGTCGGCCAGTTGTGTTATTCAGGACATGGTCAAGCGGCTATTAAAATCTGTTGGGGGGGTAGGTACCATACATCTTCCTCCTCCTCCTCCCTGTCCAGATTTTTACAGTTTCAAATAGATTTGCACTAAATTCTGTATGTTCAAACTGATAGGGTCCTGACAGCTGCCTCGGCATCGGAAATTGCTCAAATACTCCCCAGGAATTTTTTATCGTTACGGAAAGTCGCCCAGTTGAACCAGTATTAGTGGGAGTGTGAAAAGGAAACCATGAAACTAGTGTGAGTTGGAAGTCCCTTTGAAAAATGCGGAAAGAATGTACCGTCCCATTACTCTATGAGAAGGGAAAATTAACCCCGAGCAAAAAGAGATGCCAAAAAAAAAACCCCCACCGGGAACCTTAGACTTGTAGTCACCGTAAACAAATTCCGAAAAAAAACTGTGGCAAGTACTGCGCTTCGGTGCTTGCACACTGATACAACTTGAGAAACTATAGCAATTAGATTGGAAGAGAGGGTAAGAAAATAAAAGGTGACTCAACCCCGAGTTGAACGAGGATCTCCTACTGAATGTGATGATCATGTAATCCAAGTAGGCATGCTTACCACTACACCACTGAGTCCTTTTATAGTAAAAGAAAATGGAATTCAACCACAATTGCCTGAAGGAAGAGAAGACAGAAAAATGAATGACCCGGCCCCGAATTGAACAGGGATCTCCCACTGAACATAATTCGGCAAACGGAACATTAGTAGGTGCGTTAACCATTACACCACTGGGTCTATTCATCTGCCAACCAAATTAGATTCAATTAGTACAATCCGTATCAGAGCAGGCAGAAAAGAAAAGAAAGTGAACCCAGCCTTGACTAGAACAGAGATCTCCCACTAAATTTGATGCGGTACTTAATGCGAGTAGGCATGCTAATCATCACCACTGGGTCTTTCTCTACTTCCAATTTAAAATCAATGTATTCAACTAGGAAAAGAGAATGAAAAAAAAAAAATAGCCCTGAGTCGAACAGAAAATCTCCCACTGTCACTCAATAGTTCACCCTCAGCTTTAATTGTGTTAGAAGAGAATGAAAGAAAAACAAATGGCCCAGCTCCGAGTCGAGCAGCGATCTCCCATCGAACACTTCACTTGCACAAACTGTAGTGCAAAGCTAACCACTATACTACTGCTAGTTCCAGATGAGGTTCATTTCAACCGCGGTTGTAAAAATGACGAGACCAAAAAAAATGAAAATGAAAGGTGACCCGGCCCTGAATTGAACAGGGATCTCCCACACAGCAAATTACTCTTCTTCGGAACTGCAGCCAGGTGTCCTAACCACTAGATCACTGGGTCATTCTTTTGCCAAAAAAAAAGAAATCCAGCTACAATTCTCTTGGAAAAGGGAGTGAACGGGAAAATGAATGACCCAGTGCTTAGGTTGACAAAATGGTAGTCTCCCGTAGTCAGACTCTAAACAAAAGTCTTATGAGATAGTCGATAAACTTAATAATAGAACAAAATGGCAGGAGAAGAAAAATAAACAAATAATGACCAGTCCTAAGCCACCCAGGGTGTGAGCTCCGAGAGCTTGGGTTAAATCAATCTCCTTTCCAGAACTGCTTTCTCAAGTTGAACCACATCCTCGGAATGCCGAATATCGGAGGATCGGTGCAAATAGCCGCAGCGGCGCAAAGGGCAGCGAACTTCGAAAAGGGTACCCAGGATGGCAGTATGTAGTGTTAATATTCCTCGTCTCAATACATATTTACACCCGCGGGATAGGTGGGGCACAATTCGTCCACCCCGAATGAACGAGTAGAAAATTCCAGATTGGGTGTTTAACGGTTTGATATCTGCGTCTGTTTCGCCTCGCTGGTGTAGGAAGAGCTCCGTTGAAGCTGTCAAAAGCTTCACAGTTGTTTCATAAAGAATTTTGGTCAGACCCATCTGTTCAGAATATTCACTACTGCCCTACAGAGCGAGCTTCCAGATCTACTTGGTCTGTAGGCCAGTGCTGACGCATGGCAGTACGAGTCCGGCCTTTTTAAACTCAGATCACTGATCATCCAATTTCAACTTCCGACGTGTTTCGGCTCAGGTCTGCGGATTAATATCCTGTAAATGAGGCAGCAGTTATCATCGGACCCCAGATATTTTGAATGATCCTACAACTTTGCTTGATCAGAATAGAAATTAGAATTTCACATCCAGTGATTTTCAAAATAAACTTAGAAAACTGGGAGTGCACTTTGATGCTAATGAGGTACGAATTGGAATCACTAAGAAGTGTCTGGCTAGAGAGACTACTTTGATGCCTGAATACTTGACTCGAAGTAAATAATCAACATTCAGAAGACAAATCTATTTTATAAGCTACAAACAGAAATATTATTTTGGTGCATCGGATATATATTAGTGCCCATGGGCTCCGCGCGGCCTAAAGCTATGCTGGTTGACCACAATTATTGTGGAAACGAAACAGAAATAGCATTTTGGCTCACCATATTTGCTGTTGGTGCCCATGGCTCCACGCGGCCTAAAGCTATGCTGTTGACCAATTATTGTGGGTAGAACATTTTTCGGCAACTGGTTACAGACTGGTTACGAGTCTATATTGTGGGAAACAAACCAGAAACAGTATTTTGGCTCATCATATTTGCTGTTGGTGCCCAGGGGCTCCGTGCGGCCTAAAGCTCCTCTGGCTGACCACAATTATTGTGGGAAACGAAACAGAAATATTATTTTGGTTCATCATACATATTGCCTTGTTGTCGGTGCCCATGGGCTCTGCGCGGCCTAAAGCTACTAGTGGAGACCCCTTAGTCGGCCACTTGAATCCCAGCAGTCAGGTACTTCATAATTGAGAGAGTTTGTATTTCGGGGGTGGAGTACGACCTCTGGGGCATGTTCATACCAAATTGTGGGCGGAGTTGAGGTGCGGATCAAGAGTTATGGTGTGTTTTGATTCTGATCTGATATGTGGGACATCATTTTCTTGATCACTGTTACCGTGTACGTCATTTCTCTGCCAATTCTTCCCCAATCCGCAACTTCTGGGGCTCAATATGCTTCCTGGATCCAAGGCATTCAGCTCAGATAGGATGAACGACTAAGGCCACCCTCACGCCTGCGCTACACCGCGGAGAAGACTGATCTCTCGCATCTTCAGCGGGATAAGATGGCCTCCCTTATACCACGCGACAGGCTCCTGCTACAGGTCTGGAAATTGGTGAGGTTCTTCAGGACAGCTGTTAATTGCATCCCCATATACTATTGGCGACGCACTTCTTTTCTTAGACCCCAGCCATTATTCACCCCGAACACAGAAGTAATGTTGTACAAATGTCGCAAATTTCTGGAGGAGCTAGAGGTGCCTGTCCCGGGGTTTGTGTATCAGGGTACGTACATATTCTTTTTGTTAAGCTGCAGTTTGCGTCTCGTGGGCCTTCATAGCTTGGTTCGCCCATACACAGGTTATTTTACCTGAAATCACCATCCAAGCCATCTCGGTGCTTATTAGAAGGGCATGCCACCATTGTTTTGAGAGGCTGTAGTTCTGTCAAAACGACTCTAAATACTTCCTATGCATATTATATGTCACCTCCGATAGTTTGAAGCCGCTATATGGTGTAACAACAACACGTTTGGGCGGGTGGCCGACTAAGCCGTCAATTACCCGTTCTGGCTAGTCGGCAAAAATAAATTCAATACTCCACCGGCACATCTTGTAAATTATGCCATGGTGCCTCAAACTACTCGGAGGATACATGCGTGCCTCCTATAGCGTACAGAAGTGTACCGAACCCCTGCACACCTTGAGCCGGAGCTCCAAACACTAAGGTGGCCGACTAATCAGTCATCGATAGTATGCTGGTTGACCACAATTATTGTGGGAAACAAAACAGAAATAGTATTTTGGCTCATCATATATATTGCCTTGCTGTTGTTGCCTGTAGGCTCCGCAGCCTAAATAGCCGCATATTCATGTCGTCATAATTATACATCACCTGCTGAGAAATAATCACTGCCAGTTTCCTAGGTGCGTCGTCGCACTATGCGGAAAAAACACACTTAAAAGACGCGTACAAGACGCGTCGAGACATGTATGGACGTGCAGTAGACAGGGTCATAACTTCCTTCCTTCCTTGAATCCTTCCTTCCTCACGACGCGTCGGTGACTCGGGACGCGTCGAGATGTGTATGGACGTGTAGTAGACAGGGTAGTTGTCGTAGACACAACATTGACTCCATGTAGAGACAACACTACTGCATACCCGGTGATGACCAAATTGAGTTTGATCTTGATACCTCTCTCTCTGAACCACTGGACGACTCTTCCGATGTATGCGCCACTACCCCGCTTTGCCCAAGCTCGACGTTGGTCTCAGGATCAAAGCTGTCGCACGAAAGTGCCATGACGGCCATACTCATCCAGCCATCGTTCAGTGACCTTAGGGCCATTCTTCACGACCAAGCACGACTCGAGCTTGAGCTCTTCCTTGCAGAACATGAATATAGCACCAATAAATTCGGGCTGGAGGAACAGTTCTCCTCCGCTGATATCGAGTTTCTTCATTCCGGCAATCTGCAGCATGTGCAAGCCTCCTTTAGCGTCCTCGGGAGATAGAATGGACATTGTTTTCGTGGTATGGAAACAGAAGTTGCAGGAATAATTGCCTTCCTGGGATAGGGCGTCAGTGGATGCTTACGCTAGTACATGAAGGTAAATTTATGGTGTGCTTACCTGTGAGGAAAATAGTTCACGGAGATTGGGACGTATGGTAGCTCTTCCTCGGGCTGAATGGATACGAATACGGGGAGGAACGAATTGAGAAATTTCAGGGCCATTGTTCACTGAGAGTGGTGGGCTGTAGGTGAACGCAGCGCCTCAACGCAAGCTTTATATCCAGCGGTGCACAGCACTCCCTTGCGGCAACTAAATAATATCCTTGTTCAGGAAGGTGCAAAATAGACTTTGCGGCAGGTGAATAGTGATTGGCGCTACTCCGTTTCCAGCGATAACACGAGGTAAGAGACCAATGTGTGAAATATTGAGAGTAAGGATAGGCGCTCTGTAGATAATATATGGAGTCTTGGGTTTGTCGCAGTCCATTTCAGAGGAATACCATCACGGCAGATTTTCCCTGTCCAAGCAGGAAGCCAGGTCGAGACGCGTACCAGTACACGAGTACACGTTAAGAATAGGAACATCGTCAGCCGCCGTGCAGACAAAAAAACTCCGGAGCGGAGAGGGCATCTCTTATGGTACTGCGAAAGGTGTGAAAAGTGTCAGCCTATTACGAAAGTCGCTGGCACAGATCTTCATTGTAGATATTCTGGGCATAGAGAAGAGAAGAGGATCTAAGCGCCGGCCAAGTTCCTCCAAGTCAAGACTCAAGAGATCCAGGATTCCAGGGTCACCAAGACTCTGAGCCAACCTCGGCTTTCAGCTCCAGATTCATGATGCGGTGTATTTTTGGGTGTAATCAGAACACTGGGTCATTTTTAGCGGCCGTTTCCCCAGCGCTGGAGCTAAGCGTTGGTTTGACGAAAAGACTACGCGAAATCTGACATGAGACCCATTAACAACTTAGGTTTTTATTTCATTGTACTGGGTCTCGTGACGGCAAAACACCAAAAAGAATTCAAAAAGGGAAGGAAGACGAGGGAGTTCAAGAGAACTCAGGGAAAAAATCAGGGAACTAATGGCTTTCACTCCACACATCACTGTTATATTCATGGTCAAATGAATACAGTGAGAAAACGGGAAATTAGAAGTTTAATACATCAGCAGTCGTGCACTGTATCCCGCCGTACCCTGGCAGTGAACTCGGGGTCAAAACTGCTGATGGGAATATAAATAACATTGTTACTGTGATATGTGATTCGAAGAACTCGGAGTGGCGTCCTTAGAACAGAGGTCGCATTGCTCTGGAAACACCGAGCGCACCGGCGTTCAAGTCGCAGCTGGAGTGGGCATTATCTGGTAGGTGGAATCAGCGATGTCCTAGAGGCCAAGATGTGGGGGAGGGATGGTGGAGGGAAGGGAGAATGGGGGCAGTATTAGGTCGTATTGCACCAGCCAATCCACTAGAAACATCGCTTCGGTCCGAGTCACTGAACAAATCAGCAAAAGATCAAGCTCAAGTAGGCCTCTTTAACGCGCATAGGAAGCCACCCGACACATCTTGAAAAAAGCCTCCAACGGCCAGGACCCAGAATAGCCCATAGATTTGACGTCGACGGAATAATGGAGTTCGGACTTCATGATATACTAATTCTAGACGTTGTTACAGGTTCATTTCGGACCCAAGAGGCGGATTTGAGGTGCTGATGCAGCCTATTTCCCAAAG